GCCGCCTCTATATTTCGCGCGGGCGCAGTGCGACGGGGAGGAGGGGGGGGGCATTTTGCACTTTCACTGCTTCACTACTTCCGGTTTACAAGTCTCACTCTGGTGAAACTTGTGAACTCTTGTGAAGCTGGAGCAAGCTCGTCTAGCCGGGTATTGTGACAAGAGGATCGCACTCGCTGCTGGGCGTCGCGTGCGACGTCTCGCTGCAAAGGACGATGGTTTCAGGCAGTAGATGGCGACAACATGCAATTAAGGACCGAAAACAGTAATGAGTGTCTACGATGACGGGGTCTACATGAAGTCCGGTGCTCCATTCGACAGGTTAAAACGAGTTATGAAAACGCCGCGCCCATCGCCGCGCGTGGCGGTGCGGCAAATTACGATCCTCTTTACCGTCTCCCCGTCTAGCCACATGGTAAAACGTATCAATTCGAGAAAAGGCTATGGGTCGACACATTAGTGGGAAGCCGAATGCCCCCCGTCGCCGAACTGCGCCCTTCGCCCGTGCTGATAATGAGGAGTAACTGCGTCAGCAAGAGAATCTCACAGCAAATACGCATTCAGAGGTAGAAAGCAGCCAGAACTTATGAAGCGCGAACAAGCAGCGTGTTTGGCCATAACTAGACGCCTGGCTAACCGTGCAGCAGCGCGAGCGGAGTGTGGAGACGACGCCCGTGGATCGCTACCGTCCAACCCCGTTCCTGTGCACTTACAATCGGAGAAAGTAGCATGATACTGCAGCTGCGGACCCATTCTTCCCACACACGGAAAGAACCACGATCCATGGAAGTGAATTTTAAATACTTTTTGAAGAATTTTATCTTTTTTTTCAAATATTTCGAGGCTTAGCAGGGTATATTATTCGAGTTCCAGGCGATCTAGTACACAGCATTTTGAATGTGAAACATCGACAACGGATGAAAAAATAAGAAAGGAAAAACAAAAAATGAAAAAAGAGACTGAAGCTTTCTCTGTTTCAAAACATTGAATTTATTACCCTGGAACAATAACACTAATAAAAGACCTAGAGCTTGTCGCAATGTGACGCATATTCTGACTATACAAAAAGACCAACTTTTGTCGTTCCATTTTGTAGGTGCTGGTCAGCTCGTCAAACAGTTTGCCGTTCATCTCCATGAAGGTCTTCAAGACGTTGTAGACTAGAGCCACGATTGTTTGATTCCAGTGCTCTTTCGAAATGCGATACAATGCCGGGAACATTATAGGCATAACCTACAGCGATAGAAATCACAAATATTAGTCCAAGCGGTTCACGAGGTTGAGTTCTCTCAAGGCCACTCACTTGTGCACTTGTATCCTCAATTAGTGACAGAATGTACTCGTTATTCCAGAAATATAGCGCCCGTTCAGCAACCTGTACAAATCCTTTTTATTTACGAAATTCTTCTTTGCAGGTAGCAAAAAAAATACCTGGAAGTGCGGACTGCTCACGCATTTCGCCAACTGCCGAAACAGCGGGTCTATGATTTTCTTGAATTGCTCAGGTTCTATGATATCCAAAATTTCCTCAACTTCACCAAGGAACATGACCTCCTTTAATAACATTGAAAGTAAGATTGGACACGACGGATCCATATAAAAGACATAAGACATAAAAGTAAAATACAATAAAAAAATACAATAGCAACGGCGACAAACCTTGCTGCTGCATGTCCTGGGCCAAAATTTCAGCAGTGCATCAAAAACTTGCGGTGTCAAGCTCGAATCCTTCTCGATAAACTGCACAACGCAATAGGCAAGCTGCAATAGTTCACTATATCAACGAGAAGCACACTGCTGATCGCTAAATCACTAAATAGCCTGTTCGCATTGTACGCGCCGACATACATCTTTTATCCCGAGACGGCAAATCGGTGCTAGATCCGTTTGGGAGAATAGAAACACTGGGTTATAGATACGAAACTTTGCAAGTCATTGTATAGACCAGATCGCATTCAGAAAGACACTACGGTTCTGAATGCAAGTGCCTTCAGCGAGACTCACCCTTTTCTACTGATCTCTGTCCTCCAATGAGACAATATTCTCCCGACAGCCAAAGATCCTCATGTTACAAGTAGAAACGTCGTAAGGTTGGGGGGTACCAAGCGAAAGAGGGGGGGGGGGCGTATCCGATCAGTCGGTGGAGTGAAGATCGTATGTGGTATTTCCCATGGTTCCAGTTGTTGTCTTTTACAATTATTTCATTTTTATTGGGTTGGCTAATAAGTAATGGCCGTTTTTTTCAATTGAAAAATTTGTTCCAAAAGTAAAACGTTTTGCAAGCAAGCTTAATATCGTTTGAGATAGCAAACTTCTAACCTTAGTATTAGAATATCAAAACAGCTTCGGTTGAGGGAAGAGTTTTTGTGGATTTTTCAGTCGTTGAAGTTGGAAGTGAAGTCGGCGAAAATTAGCACCTTCGACAACTGCCTCTATTTAGAAATTTCATGCTAATAGTTGAATTAATTGAATTTGAATTTGATATTCTAATACTACGAGAAGTTTGCTATTAAACGATATTAAGCTTGCTTGCAAAACAGTTTCACTTTTGAACAAATTTTTCAATTGAAAAAACGGCCATTACTTATTAGCCAACCCAATATGTGCACTGTGTAACCTCCTCCACGTACCCCTCCCCACTCAGCGCCGCCCTCGACGGTGGTTTCTCGGATTAGGAGTGGACGAACTTGAGGAAATAAAACAACGGAAAAGCGGTGGAAAGCTGAGAAAAGTTGGGAAGATGAGTAAAGAGAAAAAGGGATCGTATCGGAGGGGAAATTTGGGGGGAGGAGGTGGCGCGGGCGCGCATTTTGCGAATGAGGCAGGGCATGAAGAGGTGGAGCAGAAAGGTGAGCGGTCTAGTCTTGCCTGCTCTACCAAAAAATCGCTCTGTGGCGATGATTGCTTTCCATCTCAGAGCCGTCTGGGAGATGAGTTTCACGGGAAATGGGCTAGCAAAAATCTATATAAGAAGGACAGAAAATAACGTAAAAGTATAGAAGTAACCTGAGCATGGTACAGAGATAGACACTTTGGCTTGTGCAGTGGCAGCAGAACTTTCACAAGAAACACTTTATGTTCTTGTTTTAACGGCAGGGCAAAACCATTGATGATGCTGAAAATTTTCAAAATGATAATGGATCTTTGTGAACTAATAAAAGGTCATGCACATATTTTGCAGCTTCACGATTTTATTGTGAAATCATTTCCAAAAGAAGTAAGGATACAGGTGAGGATGAATCGTTTGCCGTGGATCACCGCCACTACTCCAACCCCGCCTCAGGTTGAAAAATAATATCGTCAAATTCGAAGATCAGGGTGAACTAAAATTCAGTGATTACCAGACGTTTTCCACGACGCCTTTCACTACACAACTACCA